AATCTGATGTATATATTTTATATATTTATATAATAAGGATATACATAGATTATATACTTAACATATTTTAAGTTACCCTTTTAATATTTATTATTTTTTGTTTTAAGTTGACTTAGTTTGGGAAAAGGATTAGGAGATTATATATATAACATATTTTTAGTTACCTTTTTTAATATTTTAATATTTATTATTTTCTATTTTAAGTTGACTTAGTTTGGGAAAAAGGATTAGAGTTATTATTTAGCCTACAAATATATAACTATAGGTTTGTAAAAGGGGGTTAGAAATAAATCACGTATTATATTTTGGAGGAGAAGGCAGAGAGTTTAGAAAGAGAAAGAAGGAAAAGAAAGAGGATATGGTTTATATCAAATCTTTAAAGGCAAGTTCTTTTCTTCTTTTCCCCTTTGATTCATAATCTGTACAAACCTAAATTAATTGAACCTATTTGCATGATAGAATCTGAAATTACAGTATATAGTTTATGTAATGGGTTTGTGTTTATGTTTCATGTTTGATAAATTAATGCATGAATTGAGTTCTACTGTATTAAAATTATTTTTATGAACTGTATTGTTGTTGTTGGGACGCTCTGGGAAGGAGAATCGAATTTTTGAATCTCCAACAATGGAGGTTCGTAGGAGGATTTGTTTTTATTTGTTTAAAATTATTAAGATAGACTTGTGGAGGATTTTAAAAGTATGATTTAAATTTATATACTAAATATGAAATTTAATTAATTTAAAAGGTTAAATTAATTAAAAACGGTTGGATTAAATTATTTTAATCAATTATTTGGATTTAAATGTACTTAATCAGATTATAGAGTTGTACAATTTTAATTGAGATGCATGTAAATTTCTTATGATGTAAACTAAATGCATGCTATTTAAAATTATTGTTTTTTGCTCAATTAAATGCAAAGGAATATCTGTATGATTTATATCATACTACTATGGATTTATTTGATGTAATATCATAACTGTAGCATTATTTATGGATTGTATGCATTATATGCACCAGTATGGGATGGTGGCATATTAGGGACGGATTAACTAAAAACGTTAAGTCCTACCTATTCATGTATAACAGAATGGATTAACTAAAATGTTAAATCCTACATATTTTCATGTCAGGCCAACTGAATCAGTTGGATGACATACCAGATATTTATTTTATATTTAGATAGGATGGATAATATATATATATATATATATATATATATATATATATATAGTTATATGTCATGATATGAGCTTGTGTCTCAGGATCATGGTTAGGATGCGTATACTGCCAAGGATGTGTAGTTAGATATAGTGTAGTTGTGTACTCTGGTAGGTCTAGGTACTCATATCCACAATATGTGCATTTTACATATTGCCTACTATTCAGGTTGAGACAACCCTATAGTCTAGTGAGGTTCCTTTATTGTTGGTATTTATATATATACGGACTATGTAATTATTCTTAGTGGTGTGTACTGTCGCAATATTTGTGTAGTGTATTTGTTCTTGGAAATCAATGTCGGATTAAAAGGTCGAGTGATCAAAGATGGTTTGTTGGTCAGATTAAACTACAATTTAAACTAAATAGAGGCAATGGAATACAACTAAAGTAAATAAGGTGTAGAGAATGAGAGAGATGAGTCTTGGGTCATAGAGTTCACCACTAAACATTACCTTCCTAGACATTCAATATTTGATGGATTAAGGGATTATGGGTTGTAAATGGATGTGTGTGCCATTGATTGAAACATTAGCATGGATGGCCAAGTAAGCATACATTGTCTAGCCAATCTAGTAAATAGCACAACATATCAAATTAAGCCATTAATCCTTCCATAAGCCCACAATTAATACACACTCAACAAATTAGAAAAATATACTATTTGCATTCATAAGTATGGAACATAAAATAATAAGAATGGATTGTCCACCTATCTAAGAAAGTAAAACAACTACACTACAACTAAGCTAGTGACATGAAAATTAAACTACTTAAACTAAGACTGTGGCACAATTCATCAAGAAATAAGTATGAACCATCAAATTAACTACAAGAGTATTCCATTTAAGCACCATATCTTGACCATCACTAGATTCATATTATCAACACACATAGACATGCATGAAATTCACAAAATCAAGAGATAAACACATGAACATCCATTCTAACATACATAGACATATTAATATAATTAAATGATCAATTAGAAGTATTAAACTACACAAATCATTGTAGAAACAAGATTTATATAAATATCAAAGGTCAAGACAAACATTACAGCACTAATCCCCTTTAATTACAAAACATCAAAGTCTAGGAGGCATGCTTAGGACTATCTCTAGCCCCAAGAGGTAGTTTAGCCACTCATTGATGTTGTCATCCAACCCTCAAGGGCTATCTCTATGGTAGGGCTCATCTTCCTCATTGGTAAAAACCCTAGATGAGAGGAAGAACTTTTCTAATTTGTGTATTTCTCACTCTAATCTCTAGCCAAATCTCTCTCTCTAACCAACCTCCCTTACTTAAAATAGCCAAAATCCTTATATAGATAGCTCCAAAGTCACACCCAAGGTCAGCCTTCGTACACTAGGACCTCCAAATGATTGTACCACGAGCACACATTTTATTTGGCTTGAAATCAACTTTTCACACAACTTGAGGCAATTCGATCGATCACGAGGTTGCTTCGATCGATCGAACTAAGGCGGCGCCTTTTTGGAATAAAGACAAGGCTGAGATATTTTTGGGATATTTTGGGAAAAGGACAAAAGTGGTAGGTGGGGATAAGATCAAAAGAGTTCGATCGATCGAAGGAAATGTTGGATCGATTGAAGAAGATATTTTGCTGAGGATAAGGACAAAAGGCTCTATCTGTCATGGCATGGTTGGAACGATCACTGTATGATCGATCAGAGCTTGGTTCGACCGATCGAAGAATGCTGTTTTCCGCCACTTTGCTTCTTTCTTCCACTAAGCTTGAGATTGCATCTTTTATGCTCTAATTAGACTAAAACGAGAAAATAAGATAGAATAAGGCCCTAGAATGTTCAAGCTTAAGGGGTTTAAATGCGCATTTTTCAGCGCTTATCATACCTCCAAACTTAAATATTGCTAGTCCCTAGCAATGAACTATGGAGAAAATAAAGAAATGAACAACTAAACAACTATGAACTAGAAAGCAATAAATGGATAACGCCACTTTCGTAGGGAACACGATTGCATTTAGCGTATACAACAAGCCTTTTAAACCCCTAGGTTACCCCTAGTGGACGAGTGAAGTCTCGTGAGGGTTTCCAGAAATAATACCCACAAACATTCAGTTCATTCTTTCTAAAGAGGCACCAATATTCTAAACAAGCATTGGGAGAAAACTATCTCAAGTATACAATTTTTCAATCATTTCCAAGCAATCTCCCAAAATCTTAACATCAAGTAAGTAAGTATGGTCCTCCACATATCAAGACAAAGATTATGCAAATTAAAATAACTCTAGAATCCTTTTGAAGTAGACCGCCATCAAATATGTTGCTATCTAAGTCAACTAAAAAATTGATCACATCCTTACCCTCAAACTATCACACAAATCTAGTACCGATCATCAAGACAAAGAGTGGACCTTTTATTAAAGCTTTATTGTTCTAGGTGCGTTTTTTTTTTTTTTTTTTTTTTTTTTTTTTTTTTTTTTTTTGTCCCTAAGGATCAAAGATGGAAACATAGTGCAATGAGTTGATCTATTAAGCTTTCTAGTGATCCATGAGGTCGAGCGTTAGGTCAATGACTCCCAAACCGGACGGCATTAGGGTATTAGGTGTTTAAACACCCCTAAGGACTTACAAGCTTAAATCGACTAAGTTACAAATCAAAACTACCTCCATCTATTCATTTCCCACTTCTCATCTTCTGGCAATCAATGGTGGTCCGCAACTCAGCCAGGTTACTCGGGGCCAGCCAGAGGTTTTGGTCGAACAACCGGACGAGCCTTAGGTAAACAGGATTGGCCATCGGGGCTAGAATATGAGAGATGTTGTGCCAGTAGATCTCATTATAAGCCTACTTGGTCGTAATCGACCGGGAAAAGAAGGTGTCATCAAAAACTGACTCATGCGCCACAGAAAGGTACGAATATTTGGGCTCAATCCTGTCACGGACCATGCCGGGCTGTGTCGGTGGTGGAATAGGTGAAGGCAGTAGCATATACTCAGCCTCCTGAGCCGATGAAGATGAAGAAGTAGATGCAGAAGAGGAGGAGCGCTCGGACTGAGCTAAAGCTGGCTCTGGAGGCTCCTTTACTCGTTGCCGGACTCTGCGATCATATGTCTGGTGGGCTGTGGTCTTGTACTGAGTCATGGCCTACAGAAAGAATGAAATACTTGTAAATATAGCCAGTAACAGGAAATAGAATTGAAAGCACATAGATAGAAACATGTTTGTAAGATGAAGATAGACAACTCAGAATGAAATACATAAATCTATACAAGTGATAATGCAGCCAAGTATAGACAGTGAATGGTAAAATATGTGGGTAAGGAGCAAAATGCATTTATCAATGTTAGGAAAATTTAGGATAATTTGATTATTGCTTCTGAATTATTGAGAGGCTTTGGAGCTAAAAAGACTCAACCCACTTTAGCTTGGAAAGTGGATCTCAGGAAGGCTTATGATTCCATACAATGGGATTTTCTTTTCAGTTTGTTGCAGCTGTATGGTTTTGGAAGCAAATGGATCAGTTGGGTTAAAGCTGCAATTTCAACTGCTTGGTTCTCTCTTATGGTGAATGGGAGCCCCCATGGCTTCTTTCAACCATCTAGAGGGATTCGACAAGGTTGTCCCCTTTCACCTCTGTTATTTACCTTGATTACTGAATACTTGTCCTCCATGTTTGAAGCTAGTGCAGAGAAGGTAACTTGGTAATTGCTCCTGTGGCTAGAAAGGCTAACTATTTAGTGACCCATCAATTTTTTGCTGATGATTTGCTGGTGGTAATAAGAGCAAATATGGCCTCAGTGTTTACTTTGAGAAGGATGATGAAGCACTTTGAAGAAGTGTCTGGTTTAGCAGTGAATAAGGATAAGTCTGAGGTATTTTTTACCAGGTCTGTGAAGAGGAAGTCTAATGTGCTGAGAATTTTGGGCTGCAGGCAAGGTTATCTTCCTTTTACTTATTTAGGACTTCTATCTCTGATAAGGGGCTAAAGCAATTGGATTGTATACCTTTGATGGATAAGGTCATGTCTGCAACTACAAGATGGGCTGGTATGAATACATCTATGGCAGGTCGAATTGAGTTATTAAGGGCTGTGATTACTCCTATGGTTCTTTACTAGTCCTCTATGTATTGTATCCCGGCTGTAGTTGTTAATTTAATTGAAAGAAGGATGAGGAATTTTGCTTAGGGACATGATGATAACACTTTGAAGCTGCATGGTTTGTGTTGGAAAAAGGTAACATCTCCAAAAACTGAAGGTGGTTTTGGCTTAAGGCGGATTCTTGACATTGACAAAGCTGCTATATGTTATTTGGCCTGGGATTTCCTTCTTTCTAAAGATAGGTTGTGGGTAGCATGGTTTAAGCACTGTAATTTAAGGGATGCTTCCTACTGGTCTGTCATTCCTAAATTAACTCACTCTACCATTTGGACGAGTATTGTAGCCGTCAGGGAAATTCTGAGGGAGAATTGCTCTTATCATATTGGTAACGGTGCTTTGATTCAAAAGTTTTTGGATCCGTGGTGTGGAGGTCAATTTTTATCAGAGGTTTTTAGTTTTAGAACCTTGCGACAGGTTTCTCATAACAAACAAATTGAATTGAGCAAGTTTATTGTTCAAGCTTAGTGGCAGGTTGTTGGTATTCCACTTCAAGTTCAACAATTCATGCAGCAATTCAGGATCTATGGTGGTGCTGATCAGATTTTATGGAATCATAAACCTTTTACTTTTAAAGATGCTTGGGATGCCTGTAGGGAATCTAATTATGAGGTTTCGTGGTTTGGTTTGGTGTGGAATGGTGGTAGACCACGATGGTCTATCTTTAGTGCTCTGATTATTCAGAATGCCATTATGACTGGTGCAAATTTGCAGCGACGAGGTATCTCTTTAGCTTCTAGATGCTGTCTGTGTTGCAATTATGACGAACATGTTGATCACATGTTTGTGAATTTTGTTTATTCTTGGGAGGTTTGGTGTGGTTTGGCTGGTATGTTTCATTGGAGGGTTCGGAAAAGTGAGCTTAGTTCCTTTGCTGCAAATTTGGAGCAACAATTTTGAAGTAAATCTAGCATAAATAAGGTTCACAGGATGCTATTTTCAGCTACTTTGTATTACGTATGGAATGAAAGTAATGGTAGACTTCATAACGATATATCTAGGTCTCCTTCTATCCTATTGAAATACATTATTTGGGATGTTTTTGATATTACTGGTATTTGTTTACAAGACTTTTTATGTTTTTAGGATTTTGGGGTTGTTGTAGGATTGTCTACACTTCCTTAGAAATTCTTTTGTGTTTTGAGTGAGGGGATGCCTTCGCTTTTATTCTGTACTTTATTATTTTATTTATAAAATTTTCTCCATTTAGGAAAAAAAAAAAATAATGGTAAAATATGTGAAACATGCTAGACATAATAAGTATGGAATGCATCCAATGTGGAAAACATAGGCATTGGGCAATAATATGATAGCATGAACACAAATGATGGTGCGGGGTTTTATATGCAAAAGTGGTGAAGTTCGATCGATCATGAAAAGATGGGATCGATCCAAGTTGGATCAATCATCACATGGTACTGGTGTGATCGATCGAACCTGTGGAAAAATTTGAAAAGTCACGAATCTGTGACGTGGACAACACGGGGGCATCCGAATAAGCTCGTAACCCCGTACACACCTTAACAAAGCAAAAATGGTCACTTAAATCGGCATGTGACCCCCAAATCTAAATTCAGAAATAAAATATATATACAAGTATATACATTTATATACATATGCTTGGAACTTCAAAAATAACAACAAATGAAACATGGAAGCTTAAAATCGAAGCATGGCAACATCCAAAACATGTAAATCAACTTCGAAAATGGAAAAAGAAGACAAAAAACTTACCAAAGTTGATAAGAGAAGTGGACCAAGAAAAAGAAGATCAAAGGAGATTAAAGATGGAAGCTTTGGAGCTTTTAAGATGTCACCGGAGGTTTGCCAGAGGTGGGGAAGACGAAGAAGACGCCAGGAGAGAGGAAAGGGGTTTGGATCGATGTGGAAACTGATCCAAATGACCCTTGGGTCATATTTTAAAAAAATGGTTCTCGAATTGTCAGATCGATCACATGGGTGATCAGATCGATCATGAAGGTACACAGATCGATTGAACCCACAAAACGACAAAGTATTTTTGAAATTTTTGAATTTTTTTTATTTTTTATTTTTATTTTTATTTTTATTTTTATTTGGAAATTTAAAATATTTTTGGATTTTTGGAAAATATATTTTTGAATTTTTGAAATATTTTAGAAACTGAAAAATATTTTTGAATTAAAATTTGAAATTCAAAAAGTCAAAATCAAAAGGAAGCACACAGATCGATCGAGTATTGATCGATCGAACTTCGATCGATCCAACAGGTAAAAACCTGCAGAAATCTTCAAACGATACACAGAGAGGTGATTTTTCAGAGGTTCAAAATTTTTCTAAGTATAGAACCTAGATCGATCGAAAGGAGAACTGGATCGATCAAGAAAAACTTGGATTGATCTAATGAAAAGTTCAAACGATACTCAGAGAAGTGAAATATGCAGAGATTTTTCGCACGATGGAACTGAGAGGTGATTGTATGCAGAGATGGTGTTCGATCGATCGAAATTCTTTTGTGATCAATCAAACAAGTACTAGATGCCTAATTTGAAGATGAAAGCACATGCATTCCTAATCAAAGTCTCAAACAATATGTACATGATCCAAAAATATATCTAGACGACGCAAGAAATGAAAGTAAAATAGAAATGAGGGAGGAGTAGGGTTGTAAACCCTACTGATCGCACTAGTGTTCAACATTTCTAGCAAGACGTTGGGCTCTTTTAGCCCGGGTCAAAAATATTGTTGTGCATCCCCTCCTTGACGGGGTGAATTAATCCTTAAACCCCACCCAACAAACCATTCCCTAGAGAACTTATTGGATTCGATTCAAAAGGAATTAACAATCCTTGGTCAAAGCAATTCTTAGGCTTCCATGCCATTGCAACACTCAATTTGAAAACATTTTTCCTTGAAGTCTTTTTGGAAAGCAAACCATTGGAAGTTTCGATATTACATAAAAACTCATTTTTGGCAAATTCATTTCAAGGCATTTCTCAACAACACACACTTCTTCATGCTTACCAATTGAACTCGGGGTTGGATTAAAAATGTTCAACTTCACTTTCATGTGGGGAAATAAAAATTTCATTATCTCTGTCCTACAATTGATGTTGGCATTAGCGATTACCAAGAAAGGATGGCCAAGGATAACGGGAATTTGGCTCTTGGGATTGGGAACGGTTCTGTGTCAATGACAACAAAATCAACTGGAAAGAAGAACTTATCAATTTTGATCAATACATCCTTAATTATACCCTGGGGCTTTTTGATGGATCGGTCGGCTAGTTGCAAAACTACCGATGTCGGTTTTAAGTCTCCTAAGCCCAATTTAACATAAACCGAATATAGAAGAAGGTTCACACTTGCTCCTAAATCAAGAAGAGCCCGGTTAATAACATGATCACCAATGATGCAAGAAGTAGTGGGTGGGCCGGGGTCTTTGAATTTTGGGAGAGTGTTGTGTTGCAAGATAGAGCTTACTTGCTCAGTCAAAAGAACTCTTTTTGGTGCTTGGCTCTTGTTCTTCCTCTTTAAAATGCAAAGATCTTTTAAAAACTTGGCATAAGCCAGAATTTGTCTAATTGCATCCAAGAGAGGAAGATTGATTTTCACTTACCTAAACATTTCAATAATTTCATTAACTTTGCCTTGTTACTTTTCAAGAGAGTTGGATCCTTTTAAGGCATCTGGAAATAGAGCCTTTGGCTCAAAAACTTTTTCAAAATCCTTTTTGGAAGTATTTTCAACAATGGATTTACTCACATGCAATGAATGAGGAATAAGATGTAAGACGGGATGGGTGTCAACTTTTGGTTGCACCGGTTCACTCTCTTGGTCTCCACAACAAATTGTTATTTAGGTGGTAAATTCAAAGCATCTTCCCCTTTTCCCTAGCATTTAAGGTACTAGCTATTTGCCCAACTTGGGTTTCTAGCTTCGCAATGGATTGGGAATGAGAATGAAGTAATTGGGTGTTTGTCTCTAAAGTACCCAAAGTGGTCAAAACTTTTTCCTCAAATGCGAGACTCCTTGAACTCCCTTGAGAATATGAAGATTGGTTTGGAAAATGAGAGTTAGAAAATTGGTTTCCATGTGATGATTGGTATAATGAACGGTAACCTTAGGAACCTTGGCCTTGCATTGGGGGCGGAATATACTTTCCTTGAAAACCACTTTGGGGAGGGTTTGAGCCTTCCCTTTGGCTTTTCCAAGAGAAGGTCGGATGGTTCTTCCACCCGGCATTGTAACGAGTGTTATAGGGATTATTCCCTTGATTAACAAAAGTGGCATTCACTTGTTCATAGTGCTTACTTTACACATGTCCATGAGGACAATTGGAAGTAGAATGTAAAACAGTAGAACAAGTTATGCATGATTCATTTGATGGATGATGAACATGGTTAGAGGAGGAAGACACTTGATTCACCGAATTTTAGTTGATCTAAAATTGATCAAACCTTTGAGATAAAGACTTGACTTCGGCGGCTATGTCATTGGAATTATCAACTTGATACAAGCCAACATTCTTCCTTCCACCTAGATTTCTACCATTTTCAGATGACAAAGATCGATGTATTGAATTTTCACTCATGCTCTCATATAGTTGCCAAACATCATTCTCATGCTTATCAAGATAAGAACCACTCACGGATGTATCAACCATACCCTTGTGATTATCCGGCACGCTTTCAAAGAAATATTGAACTAATTGCCATTTAGGAATGTCATGGTGTGGACACTACCTAAGTAAGTCATTAAATCTTTCCCATGCCTCATGAAACATCTCCCCATCCCCTTGAGAAAATTCTTGAATTGAGGTTCTCAAAGCATTGGTCGTTGAAATTAGATAATACTTTTTCAAAAACTCTTGTTGCATTTCTGCCCAAGAAGTAAAGGTCTAAGATTATTAAACCAATATTTTGCCTTATCTTTAAGGGTGAAAGGGAAGATTTTTAGTTACGAAACCTCTTCCGGCATGTCCGTGTATTTCATGGTAGAACATACTTTAAGAAACTCATCCAAATGCTTGTAAGGTTCTTCACTTGGAAGTCCATGATAATTAGGAAGCATTTGGATTGTTTGCGGTTTAATCTTATAATGATGTGCTTTAAAAGGGGATAGTTGAATGCATGTTAATGCATTATACTCATTGGGCACATAATAATATCTTAAAGCAAGAATATGATTCACAATTGGTGGTTCGACATAAGCCCCACGATTTACTTAAACAACGGGAGGTGGAGGTGGAACAAAAATTGGCCGAGGCATTCCCAATGGAACATGGCCCTGTTGTTGTGGAAGGAAGGGTCTTGGCATGCCTAATGGTACTTGAATGTTGTCGTAATGCACATTAAGGTGGAGGATACCTTGTTGGTCAATGTGACCAAGGACCTCCACATGGTCCTCATTAATGTCCTCCATTGATGAAATAGAGTAATAAGAGTTACTCATTCCCCTTGGATTACGAACAATGGATTCAAGATGAAAATTAAGTGGGACAAGAGTAGGATTCAAGGACCTATGACCATGCATGCACAAACAAAACAACAACTAGTAACAAACATAAAAACAAACACTTCTCCTCCACACCAAATCAATCAACAACCCTCCACATACAATGTTCCCATATTCCCATGCTTTGGACAATATGCAAGAAAAGTAAATTGCCTCCACGCGGAATCACGATCTATCTAGGAATTTAAAAACTTGAAGCTAAATAGAGGCAACTTCGAAAAGCTTACAAAGATTCCTTAAGCAAAGATAGAGTTAGAAAAGCTTACAAAGATTCCTTAAGCAACTTCGAACGATTTTTTGATTTTTGTTTTGCCTTGCTTTGCTTTGCAATTTTTTTTTTTTTTTTTGTCTTTTTATGCTTAGCTTAGCTTGGCTTTTCGCTTTTGAATTTCCCTTTGCTTCAC